ATCCCGTCGGTCCTCTATCACCATGCCTGAAAAGCTGAAATCAAGTTTGCAACCTGTGAATGTAATATGAGAAACTGTCTATAATCGTAGTTATTGTTACTGTTATTTGCATGAGCAATTTATAGACTAATCAGCTTACCCATATCTGGCTAGGGCTTGAATTAGGTATGAAACAAGAAGATAATAATAGATTACAAAATATTTTGAAATACCAATGAGATTTTTCAAAAGACATTTCAGAAACAGGTTACAATTTGTGTCTAGGCGTGTGCAAAGTATTATCCAAGAGCCCATTTACAACTAAACGTGCACATATTAAAATTACCATATATTTACTGCATTGGAGCTGTCGTTTCGATGTCAACGTTGTGGCTTAAAATCTATAATTATCTATAATATTATAATTATCTAGTTCAAAAAACATATCAATCTGTTTACCAATGCTGCAGCGACAAGTTCATCTTTTTCATCATTCCCTTCCGAAGTTGCCAATTGGCCAAAAACACTTAAAACAAACACTCGTACCACTACCTTTAATCCTGCCATACTTTCCGAACTGATATCTTTACATATTCTTACGTTTTTTATCGTTTTGTATGTTTAGTCCGGGAGCAAGTATACGGTTTTTAAATGGAAAAACCCTCTCACAAAAATATACTCTACATGATTACAATAACGTCAAACAAAACTGTGACCAGTTAAACTGGTCTGAATTGCTGTGCTCACGAAGAGGATTATGCGCACTTTTAGGTACTTAGCTCCATTCTCAATTTCCTCCTCCCCCCAAATTTTAAAAAAGCACTATCCGTATTGTTTATTTAACTTTGATAAATGCATAGAATCAATTTGTGCCGGTTTAACTTTAACCCGACGTAATCGTGTGAATGATAGATGGACTCTATATCGTTTTGTCCAGGGAAAAAAATGTCGTCAAGTAGGTTGACTCTGCACTTCCCACGCAACTCCGACATTAGTTCAACACAAGCTAGATTCTCTATAAAAAGTCTGTCAAAGAGGTCTGGACACTTGGTCTAAAGACATTGGTTCCCTACCCTACCGGTAGACCACCTGGCATATACAGGGTGTCCTATTCGGAGCGTGTAGGTCAGGTAATGATAAGCAAGCTTTGCACACATATACCAAGGCCTTAAGAAAACCGGTATACATATTGTCCTATGTCAGATGGTACGATGTTTTGTAGTTCTATGACTATGAGTCAGTATATAAATCAGATTTTAGAGCCAAACTTGGACACGGTGCTTATCCAACACATCTAGCTAGATTCTATATTGTCGATTACAACTTATGTGGACACTGCAACGTTCAGGGGAGCTTGAATCATCTATTTTTTGGCTATTTAAAGTGTTCACCATACTGTGATCGACTCTACCATAATTCGATTGGCTTGGGCCTTATCACACCATTTAATGTTCTTTACATTTTATCTTTGATGTTACATGCTTGATAATTGAACTTTTAAAAATCTCTGGGCTTAAATTTTAGTTTGATTAGCTAGATATCCTCTGTGTAACTATCCTCTGTAATTTACCTACCTAACCGTGGCGTAATTGTTGTGTGTCATATTCTAAAAATGCCTTAATAGGCCCTTAGGCGAGACGGGTGTAGTGTATCGCTGTCTAATCCTATCCTCACTATTAGTTAGAGAAGTGATTTTTGTCAGCCACCTCAAGGCTTGTTTTGCGAACCGTGCTGTAGCCCATTGTATAAAAAGTATCTGGTTAATGGGACATAGTCCTAGGTCCTAGTGCCATTAAAAAAAGCAATGAATACAAACAAAGCATGTGACAGGGCAGTTCTTGAAATTCCTTACCAAATAAATAGTTAGCATTTTCTTCAATTTCCTTCTTACGGTTCAAGTGCCGTTTACCGCAAATTAATAAATTTCGTAGTAGTGTCTGAAAACAATAAAATGTCTTGATCGCGTGTACTAAATTGCGTATGCATTCTGAAGATAGTTGTGATGCACAGTCCTTGTATCAAGTCAATAAAATTCATATCTAATTTTTGCTAATTAAATATTTAGACCAAAAAATATTCTGTGTAACTGTTAAGTCCAACGGACATATTATTATATTACCGTAAGCGGAAGCATCTGAATAATAGAACGGCTTGCACTCATACTAAAAATGCAACATTTATAACCACCTATCCCACCAATGCCCCACTTCCTACTCCTACAAAAATTCTGGAAACGAGCAGGAGTTTCTAAAACGTTGAAAAACGAAGTTTCAGTGATTATAATTGTCTCGTTCTCCGCCCGTAACTATGCTCATAAAGCTCTTTCGGTCTACTATGTTGATCACCTTGGATCAAAGTCTCACCAAAATCGAGTTATAGAGATGTCGTCACTTAACGGCCAAACAGACAATCCGACAAAAATGAGTGACATGGATTTTCTTATAATGTAAGTAGGAGTAGGAAGTAAATGCGACATTTCAAAAACTGATAGGACAACGTATTTCTTGGATTCTATCTATCGGCCTGTCTGTCTGTCCAGTAGACCAAATCCCGAGTTTGGATTATTCTTGAGTCGACTTCTTCTACCAATCTATCATAAAATACACATCAGCTACTAGTGTATACCATTGAGAAAATTATTATAAACCCGATACTGAAATTCAATCAGGTATAGTTCTTCAAATAATGGTTTTCAAGTGGTTGATAACATAAATAGATAAATCTCAACCAAATATGAGACTTGCGAAATGGCTCAATGTTATTTATGAGGACTCAAGTGATCATGGAGTATTTTCCCATTAATTTGTTTCCATAATCGCAAATAAATATCGATGCCAATTATATTAACGTTTTGTATTTTTTATCTACTGGAACCAAGTTTCAATAGAATATTACTCGTATCTCCTACCAATATTTCGAATATGTTAACATTTCTTGCAACCAATACTGTAACTATAAAGCCGCGTACAGACCGCGATTCCAACGCAAGCCAAGGCACAGGTGGTTACAGATTTGGAGGTGTTCGAATTGATGTGTACAGCGCGAGCCAACATAAGCCAATGGTTTTCAAGGTTGGCGTTGGCGTTCGATTGCGTTCGCTCACTGATCGGTCAGTCGTTCGACATTAGCGCCGACGTCGTATAGACGTCAAATGTGCTTGCATTCGTTTGCTCGGCGTGGATTTTTGGTCTGTACGCAGCTTTAGGTGAATGGCACAAAGCTGAAACACATGCATCACTAAGCTTTTTCTCAACACATAAGCAACGAAAATCTTAATTTTTATCGCAAACACATCTAGGTTTGAGTAAGTTTATATTTTACATCACAAAATATGAAGACAAATGCTTGTGTTGTTCTTTTTACTGCCCACACAATAGCAGAGAAGTAGACTTGATTCGCCGATTCCATTGCCTCCCTGGCGGGTGGGGGGTGTCGTGTGCGGAGGGGTAAGGGGCAGGGGGTGTTTAAGTTCTGAGTCCTCTCAATGACCATCCTCTGAGCATCAAAAACGTGTTGTTTAATAGAAATGGATCGACGGAAGGTGTGGTTATCTGACACACCCCCTCCCCACTATAACTGATCGACCGGGCAAACGAGCAGCAGCGCTCTTTTCCCACTTCAATCTTGTCATCTTGTCATCCCTCCATCATAATCCGCTGATAGCAGCAGCGCACTTTTCCCACTTCAACATTCTCATCCCTCCACCTTAATCCATGCCGACAAATTTGTATCATATAAATAGCTTGATGGAAGGTTTTGCTGCTCTCTCAATGACCATTCTAATTGTAAGACCTCCTGACGCTTCGGTTCCCGATCAATAACATATAATAGAAAAGAGTCTTTTCTCAATGGGCCTCCTGATTCTAAAACCTATTATCGGTTCGGTCCCCGATCACCAAGGTATTTTAAAATAGAAAAGAGTCGACGGGAGGTGTAAAACATGGTTGCCCTCTCAATGGCCTTGCCGATTCTAAGGCCTCTTAGCAGTTCGGTGCTGTATAATAGAAATGTTGACATATTTTTTGTAGACTACCAGAACTTTATCGGGGTTGTTCAAATGGCTTGTATGCATCTGTGCTGTAACGTAATCCAGCTCTGATCATGTAAATAGCTCGACGGAACCCATGGGAGGGGGAGTAAGGGGCGGGGTGTGTTTAAGTTCTGAGTTTTCTCAATCACCATCATCTTAGCATCGAAAACGTGTTGTTCAATAGAAATGTGTCGACAGAATATGTGGTTAGGTGCCCTGAAGTTTCCCCCTCCTCCTTGACCGCACAGCCGTCGCGACAGAAATCAAAATATCAGCGGACTATCTCCCGGGCGCAGGGCATTTCTTAATAGGACAATACAAAGTGGACAGGTCTTAACGTGCTTATTTTTTAAACGATGTCGTTCAGTCCTGTATGGGAAGAAGCTTTTTTGTAAATACTGATGGAAAGCACAATGTCACACATTATGTAAACAAACACTATACCGATTATGATGGCGTTACTGGCGATGAAAGATCAATGTTCTGAAGAGGTTATCATAGTCAGATGTGATCTTAGAGGCGATACCCAGAATTTCCACTGCTAAAACCATTGTACCAAATACTGGAAAACTTGTTGAATGTAGGCTTCATTGGATTCTACCAAGACGGTGGCATTCTTCTTTCACGCTTTATCTTCAACTCGGTAAGATTGGTACTTTCGAAAGGATGCGCCTCGTCATACCGAGCTGTTCTTGTTCATTTACTTAAAAACTAGAAATTATTACTAAATTTAGTCGAATCCACGATGAAGGTAGATTCAGTGTGACCCGCTCCGGACCATTTCTATTCGCCGAGCGCTACGACTACCACAAAACCTTCATCGCAATGTCCGATGTGTATGCTGCTGTCATAATCCCTCGATCCCTCCCCCACATTCAGTCGTACCTCAGCACTGTGATGAGAGCGGTGCTCCCGTGCTCGACGCTGCCCTTGTGGCGCCCGAGTTGGAGAGGCCTGTGTTAAGCCATTGTTGTCCTCTCAATGACCATGCCAATTGAAAAAACCTCTCAGCGCTTCGACCCCTATCAGCAACGTCTCGGATAATAGAAATGAGTCGACGGAAGATCTGGTTGAATGTTCAATGAATTTGTCACATCAAATTATAATCAGAACAATTAATTCAATATTCCAGTGAATCATTCGATCCTGGGTAAAATGAAGGATGAGTTTCCAGCGGATCCAATAATTTGCTGTTATGGGACTGGTGCAAAATCTTATTATATTAGGTCAGTTAAAAGTGAAATGAAAAAGGCGAATGGTGTTCAGAAGGCGGTAATACAGAAGCAGCTATCTGGGAATGACTATTAAGAGAATAATCGAAGGAGGTGGGCGGATATTGGGAAAGATACACACTTTTAAAAGCAAACTACATGATGTGTACACTGAGGTGATAAATAAGATTTCTCTAGCACACCATGATGACAAAAGGTTTATTTTTCCTAACACCACAAAAACTTTACCTTGGGGACACTCTGACATTGAGTTTTACCAAACTGACCCCTCGTTGAATGTTAAATATGCTATAGGTGCAATCAATGATATTGCAGAAGGCGCTTTTCCTGAAAATTGTAATTTATACTTGTTTAATAAAATTAATGTTAGAGGAAGTTTGTAAGTATTAGATTTAGGTTACTTCAAGCTCGTACAGGTAAATAAAAGCAACATGTAGTAAGAAAATGTGTTTTATCTCACACATGCCGCACATGTATCCGTCAGAATGGTGGTCTTTTTGAACATTTATTGAAATAAAGCTTTGACTATATATACTAAGTGACATATAAATCCGAACACCCAGTTTAAATGGTTTTATTTTAATAAAAGTTGGTGAATGTATTTATCTCACTGTAAATAACAAGTGAAAAAATTTTCAGCCTTATCAGTTGGACATTCCGGTTTTTATACTGCTTTTTTTTAATTCACTAACGCTCTAAAAATGAATATTTCAGCCGCAGTAAAGAATCAACGTTGGCGGATTTTGGTTCTTGACATCCTTTACGATCGGTTACGATGCCTAGAGTACGGAGACCTGTACGATTTCGTCAACTTAGTGAGTTTGATAGGGGCCGTATAGTGGGACTTCGGGAAGCTGGACTTTCTTTTCGGGCAATTGCAGTCAGAGTGCAAAGAAGTGTAGACACTATGGTTAGGTGTTGTCAGGCATGGCTTCGAGAAGGCCGTACGCAAAGAGCAAGGGGCACTGCACGCCGCCGTCGAACAACAGACCGTGAAGATCGCCGCCTAAGATTATCGGCCTTAAGGGAGTATCGATTTTGTTTAGGCATGCACGATGGTCGTGCCAGGGTTAGAAGGCGACGTGGTGAAAGGAGGAATCCACAGTTTTTTGTTGAAAGACATGTTCATCACCCTGTTGGAGTTATGGTTTGGGGTGCTATAGCTTATGGTTCCAGGTCACCTTTAATCTTCATCAGAGGTAACATGAACGCGCAGCGTTATATCCACGAAGTTCTAGAACCCCATCTGTTACCCTATCTTGACACCCTGGCAGATCCAACTTTCCAACAAGATAATGCCCGACCACGTGTTGCAAGAGTCACAATAGACTTCTTTCAACATAATGATGTCACATTGTTACCATGGCCACCAAGATCTCCCGACTTATCCCCAATTGAGCACGTGTGGGATATGATGGGTAGGAGATTGCTCAATTTGCAACGTCCTCCTCAGACTCTAGAAGCACTTCGAGAGGAGTTGTTGGTTGCCTGGAATGAGATACCACAGGAGAACATTGACACCTGATCAGAAGCATGCCTAGGCGCGTTGGAGAATGCGTAGCACATCAGGGTGCATCCACACATTATTAAAGGTCAAAGGGCTTTAAAGCAATGCAATCATTTTGAAATTTTTATCATTTACTTATTATGCTTCATTAAGTACTTATACAAAATTTTATCAAAATAAAACCATTTCGGATTTATATGTCACTTAGTATAATTGTTTTTTCATTTTTACGAAAACAATGCACTCTAGGAAAAAATACAGGAGTAATTATTTGTAGCAAATTGAAGGTAAAATTAGAATAAATTGTGGGGGGGGGGGGTGTTTGAGTTCTGAGTCCTCTCAATAACCATGCAAGTTGTAAACCCTCTCAGCAGTTCGATTGTCTATCAAGAACGTGTTGTATAATAGAAATGAGTCGACGGAAGGTCCCTCCCCCAAGCCAATTGAAAAACCCCGATAAAGTTCAGGTAGTCTACAAAAAATATACTGTCAACATTTCTATTATACAGCACCGAACTGCTAAGAGGCCTTATAATCGACAAGGCAATTGAGAGGGCAACAATGCGTTACACCTTCCGTCGACTCATTTCTATTAAACAACACATTTTCGATGCTAAGAGGCTGGTCATTGAGAGGATTCAGAACTTAAACACCCCCTCGCCCCTTACCCCACCGCACACACTACATCATCGGATTATGGTGGAGGGATGACAAGATTGAAGTGGCAAAAGAGCGCTGCTGCTCATTCGCCCGGTCGATGAGTTATGGTGGTGAAGGGGGGAGGGGGGAGAGTGGGAACGGGTATATCAGTTAACCACACCTTCCGTCGACTCATTTCTATTATACAACACGTTCTTGATGGAGAACTGCTGAGAGGTTTTACAATTTGCATGGTCATTGAGAGGACTCAGAACTCAAACACCACCCTCCGCGCCTACCCCCCCACCCCTACGCCCCCCCGGGAGGTCTTGCTATCGACCTCCGTCATCTACTACAGTGGCGTACTATTTTGATTAGGAAAAATAATACCACTAATCTCCTGTATCTCGCCTCTGGTGCACGTTAATTTTAACTGAAGACTTTTGAATCTGGACAATACTTAGGTAAATTCACATGCCAAATTTTAGTTCATTTCAGTTGACGATTTTGAAGATATTAAAAAAGGTTTTTTATTTTTGAGCTTCAACACTTCGTATCTTTTTAATGAAGCCCTCGAGGAAATATGTTACATAGAAAAGATACCCCTTGAAATGCGGTCCTGTGTATGATGTTTAATTTTTGGTCACGACTTGAGAATCACCATGTACATATAGTGAAATACGTTTTAAGCAAATTTATTGAAAAATAGGACTACAGCACTTATTATCAAAAAGCTAAATTGTCTAGTTCCAGTACTTCCTGCTACCGCAGCTGTAGCTCTACCTGTAGCAAAGCACTCATGTTTCCATTGGTCTGCATTTATCAATATCGGTGCAATGGTGGCTTTAAACTCATCGTAAATAAAACTAGTCTTGCAGCTATCTATTCTAACTGGTTCTGCGTCAGAGGTACAATTCTTCTTGTAGAGCAAATCAAGTCGATATGTTCCATCCTTCGTCTTGTAAACTTCCCAAAACACCGTGGCAGTGAATTCTGGTGGCTCATAGTCATAACAGTCTATGGTATTCAGTACAGATGCGACTGTGGTGTCATGCCCTGATATCACCAGGAACTTTGGGTTTTTACCTTGGATAACGCCATCTAGATAGTTGACCAAGTAGTTATAAAATGTTCCTGACCTAATTCTTTGTATTTCTTTAGTATACGTTGGTACAGCAAATGCAACGCCTGCAAGGTGATTCAAATGTGTTTGGTTCAGTTTTTTATACCACTCGGGTACATAAGACGCATTGTGCATACTATAGATATACATGGTTTCAACAACTGACTTTATCGAATTAACATCTATGTCTTTCCAACCAGTCTTCTCAAATATTGTGTTGAAAATATCCGGATAGCTTTTCCTCAGCTCTTGAAATACTTCCATCTGAGCTACCTTTTCATAGAGAGCGTCGTAATGAGGGCATTTAGCATTCATGCTAATAAAACTATCATATCCACACGGGATCGTGTGTACTGGGATGGGCTCCCATAACAGGTGTTCAAACCAAATGTCTTCTTTGGGTGGTGGATATAGTCCTGCCAGCATAGATTCGGCAGTCATAATGGCTCTATCTACATCTGACGATATGACGTGTATCTCTTCGAATTTGTATTCATTGGCGAGAAAGGTACGGTATCGCTGTCTTATATATTTTCCAAGCTCGTATGCCCTCAACTTGCCGGCCTGTAATAAAAAAAAAATATTTGAAATTAGTATAACACTGTTACAATACATTGCTACACAGGGGTACATGTATAGATAATCCATTGTATATAAAAGAACTTCAACACTTTGCTTTAGCAGAAAATGTTGTTTTAAGCTAACATTTAGATTTTTTTCGCGAAAATGATTCTACAGTTACAATGAAGTTACTTCAACAGGAGTGACAAATAACAATGATGGTACGTTCGATTTGACGCACTACGGAGCACGCAACGAGAGCAGAGCCTAAAGGGTATAATAAATAATCAATAATGATGATGATAATAATAATAATAATATAATAGTAATAATATAATAGTAATAATTTAATAGTAATAATATAATAGTAATAATAATAACAATAATATAGAATAGAGAAATTAGAAAAAATCCTAGGAGAGAAAGCCTTGCATGGAAGATACCCAGCAATTCTAGACTACGAAAGTGCTGATAAAAGGTGGTAAATTCATTATTCATATGATGGCCAACTTTGCCCAGAAACTGAAGGATACATCGTCGCCATCTAGGCCCAAGTCATACCTACAAGAAATTATTATATATATATATATAATAATAATAATGTTTATTGTCACAAAATACAAGTAAATATCAAATATTGTGCACAATAAACATAAAGCACCCAAAAGAAGTTTGCACTTGTGTTTGGATTTGTACACAACAAAAACTAATAGGACAGTCAGTGTATGAAAAAAAAAGAAAAAACCCGTTAATACTGTATAATTTGGTGAATTATTATGGTAATGTCAGGAAAAATATCCAGACAATTAGAACTGAAGTAAAAGTATTATGGATGTTAGTGTAAGTAAAATATTATTGATTTTGATAATGATTTTTCAGATCTACAATTTCGTGGATGGAGTACCTTGGTTGTTGTAAAATCCATTTTTTTAGTCGTTTTTTAAATGATTTATTTGATTTAATTACTTTTAATGACTCTGGTATGAAGTTATAGAATTTTGGTCCCAAGAAAAACAGAGATCGTTGTGTAATGGTTTTTGATGTTTGTGGAATACACATTGAATTTTGATTGAATCTTGTTGGGTAGTTATGAATGGTACGATTAAAGTATTTTGAATATTTGAAATAATGTATTAGACCACAATAAAAATAAATCTGTCTGCAATCTAATAGCTGAGCCTCCATATATAGAAAATCACTTGAATAAGTAATCTCCCTATGGAGGATCAATTTTAGAATTAATTTTTGGATTACCTCAACCTTTTTGTAATTATTATTCATAACTCCCCCCCAAGCCAAAATTCTGTAAAGTAATAGAGGATAAACAAGAGCATAATATAGATTATATAGATATTTCTTATCTAGAATATCTCTGAAGTACCTGAATTTTGGAATAATACATCTCAGTCTCTTCACAAGGTACTCTGTATGGGTATCCCATTTTAAGTGTTTGTCCAAAATCACGCCTAAGTATTTTACTCTATCGGCTGACTGAATCTCTTTGAGACCACTGCTTGTATGAATTTCAAGTTTTTTAAATTGTGGGAGAGCTTGTCGTTACAAGAAAATGCTATATAGTGTGTTTTGTTGTAATTAATTGTC